ACTAGCATCACTTTTGCCAGGGTTAACGTGCAACTTACACCCCCCCCCCCCCCCCCCCCCCCCCCCCCCCCCCCCCCCCCCCCTTCCTCTTCCCAAACACGTGCTACTAAGTTCAACCCATATAACTCCTTAAGCTCCTCATCCTTATCTTTTTCTCTTAGACAGCCAATTATCCAAGCCCTCTGACCCAAATATTACACACCTACCTTCAAAATCCAACTTTGATAATGAACCTATCCCAAATCTTAACTCCCCACTGAAGAGATGACCCCTGTGGTCATTCTTCCCAATGACATCTCCTTAGATCCTATTAACCTGTTCTTCCTCAACAAATTTCAAGCACTACAAGCTGTCGTAAACTCTCAAAATTCGGATGCTCTTGAAGCTTCCCAGTCCAACATAACTTCATACCAACCAGCAAACTACACCAGAGTTAAGAATGTCAAGAAGGCAGCTAACCCCCCCTCTAAATCCTAATAATCCTGCCATTGCCCTCTATTATTGTTTGGAAACTAAGAGAATTTAACTTCACCAAAAAAGTCCTCAGTTGTGAAGAGCTTTCCCATCTTTATTCTCTTGATATGTTTTGCCTTTTGGAGGGCAAGTTCAATGTTTTATCACTGTCTGACCCATGGTTTTCTTCCTCTCATTGCACTTTGATGATGATGAAAATTGCCACAAATTTTTTTTTTTCCAAATCTGAAAGAATTTGTGGATTAATGGAACTCTTTTAAATGCGCATTTTCTCCCTATTCTTTTTCTAATCAAATGATTCATGAGATTATTATAGTTGGACCTATTCTTCTATTTCAGATTTATGTGGTTTATATTTCTAACTCTTGACTGAAAGACTTGTTTTATGGGGGATCAAATTAGAGGTATTGCTAACAACTCCTCTAGATCTTGGGTTATATTTGGTGATTTTAATTGTTATAGATATCACTCTGAAAAGTAGGGGGCATAAAAGACTTGACATCTGTTAGTTTATTCTATACTTGGTTCAATCAGAGAGATGATCAACCAATCCGCATTAAGCTGTACAGATATTTTCTTAATGATTTATAGCTGGAACACTTTTCTGGCTCATTCTATAGGGTTGAGAATCCTAGATATTCTGACCACTCATCTCTCATCCTTTAATCAAGCACCTCTAATACCAATCCTCACAGATTTTTATTCAAGAATTATTGGACTAAGAATGTAACTTATTGGGACATCCTGATGTTGATTTTTTCCAAATATTTTTTCTGGTAATCCAATGCTTATCCTCTACCAAAAGCTCTACCTCCTTAAGACCCTCATTAAATCCAATACTTGGGCCAAAACCACCCACCTGAATTTCACTATATATAAACTTAATCAACAACAAGCCTTTTTACTATTGCAGCTAGATTTATATCCTTTAAAATTTAAATCATTCCTTAAACTCCAACTTAATGATTGTTAACAATCATATTGCCTCATGCTCCTCTGCGTGGCCTTACTGGATCACTCAAAGATCCAGAACTTAAATGGTTGACCTAATGTGAGGATATCTTAAGTTCTTATATGCTAATATAAAAATTAGACGTAACTACAACAAAATCTCTAAGATTTCTGCTCCATCTGGACCTTCGTCATCCTAGGACACGGTCAATTCTATCATCCTGCATTTTCAAATTCTCATGCTTCTCTGCGTGGGCTTACTGGATCACCTAGAAATTCAGAACTAAATGGTTGACCTAATGTGAGGATGATCTCAAGTTCCTAAATGCTAAGATAAAAATTAGGCGTAACTACAACAAAATCTTTAAGATTTCTTCTCAATCTGGGCCCTCTACATCCAATCAGGACATGATCAATTCTATGACCCAGCATTTTCAAATTCTATTTAATTCCTCCTCTTTCCAGGATGAATCAGTCCACATTCCCCCTGGTGTTGTTACACCTCCTCATCTCGTGGCCTCTCTTATTGCTCCGACCACTTATGCGAAACTAAAGGGGTCATTTTTTCTGTTGCTTCTTGCTCTGTCATTGGTTTGGATGGTTTCACTTTGGAGTTTTATAAAAGTGGTCAGAAATCATAATATCTTTGGTTATCAAGTCTGTAAAGTTGTGAAATCTTTTTTTCATAAAAGATTTCTCCCAAGAAGAGTCAAAGCCACTTCTTTAGCTTTGATCCCCAAATCTAATTATGCCAGTAATATCACTGACTTCAGATTTATCTCCCTTTGCAATACTTTCTATAAAGTAATTTTTAAAATTTTGGCTAACAAGCTTAAACCAATTAATCCCAGATTATTCATCCTAGCCATTCTGGTTTTATTCAGAAAAGGGTCTCAACAAACAGCGCCATACTTGCCTCTGAGCTACTGGGATAATTCAATATTTCAGTTAGAAGGAAACATTTCTGTGCCAAATTTCACTTCTACAAAGTTTTTACTAGTATTTCCACGGGCTTTCTATTGAAGAGGCTTGTGCAAAAAGGTTTTCCTGCCACTTTTTTTTTCTGGATCAAAGCTTGCATTAATGAAGTTATTACTTAATACGTATTAATGGTGGTCTTGAAGGTCTTTTTAGATCCTTATCTGATTTGAAACAGGGATGCCCATTATATCCCTACTTATTTTTAGATCCTTATCTGATTTCCTGCCCCTTATGCAAAAAATCACTCATTATTTGGATGTCTGGAAAGCAAAATTATTGTTTTTTTGTAGGGGGACTTTAATTTGTGAGATTTATCATATGAAATATCTTACCTTATTGGATTAGAGGTTCTATATTACCAAAATCTTGTTGTAAATTTATTGACAAAACCTATGCTGGATTTCTCTACCATGGAAACTCTATCACCAGGAAATTGCATCATAATTCTTTGAAAAACACATGCAGGCCAAAAGAATTTGGTGATTTGGGAATTCCTGCCATTCAAGCATTACGACACTCTTATAGTTGCTCTCTTATATGTCGAATATATAACACTGGGAGTCTTCTATCTTGTTGGTATAGGGCTAAATATTGTTCTCCATAGAAAACCTTAACACTTAAACCTTTAGCATACTAAAAACTTCTCACAATTACTGCAGCGAAAACAAAGGCAAACTTTTCTTTCTCTGTTTACCAAACTGCCCAATCTCCCTTCTTTGGGATCACTAGTGCAATGGCTGCACCCTCTTGGAACTCTCAGGATGCTCTCTGGCACATATTTTCTCCTAATGCTTATTTGAAAGATATTATGACCAACAACTCTTCTTTGCCTCCGGCTCTCCCATCTCACATTTTTCTGGCAATTCATTCTATTCATATTCACGAATTAACTATTAACTGCATTCAGTGGAAGAACTCAAATAATCCTTCATTTTAGGCCTTTTTATCTTACTATTACCGCGATGTTCCCTTTGTGCCTTGGCATAATTCTGTTTGGCACAAATGCTATGCTTTGAGATTCTAAGCATACAGTTGGATGGCTCTTCTCGCTGGTTTAAAGACTGCTGATGTGCTATCTAAGAAAAATATACAATACACCTGATTTGTAGACTCTGCAAAACGTCACCTGAACACTTCTCTCACCTCTTTTTCGAATGTGACTTCTCCTTCTGTATTATGTTTAATTTGTTGCCTTGGATGAATAGCTTTCTTCTCAAGCCAAGCTTGCTGCAATTAATTGAATTTATATCTGAAATGGTTCAGACTCCTTCATTTCTTAAATACTATTACCTATTGGTGATCTGTTGCTCGATTTATCGCATTTGGAGGGAGAGAAATTATGGAAGATTTGGTTCAGCATTCAATTGTAGATCAACGGATGCCTTAAAATTAAGAAGGCTATTCAACTTAAGGCTTCTAGATGGAAGAAATAGGAGAATCTAAAATCTCTTCTGAATGTATAATTTTGGTTCCCTTGCTGTGGCTTTGGAATTTAATGGTTTTATCCATTTTGGAGGTGGTTTCCTTTGGAAATTGCACCTTGCTGCAGCTATATTTTGCTGCTGGGATCGATTATCATGGTGGCCTCGTTACATTTGATCTGATGGGGGTACTGTTGGAATCCTAGACCATTCGGACCTCCTTTTGGATGGTTGTTCTGGGCAACCAGGAGATCTTCCGTTCGTTTGAATGATTTTTGCATACTGGTTGCATGAACGTATATTTTAGAGTCCAGGTTTTTGGTTTTCTTTGGTTTTGTTTTTCTGATTTAGGTTTCGTTTGGGACGGCTTTCTTCCTGTTTCTTAAAGTGATTTTTTATTAAAAAATTAAAAAAATTGTACTAAAATTTCGCTTTAAGAAGCAGCAAGAAAGCCGTCCCAAACGAAGCCTTAATCTCTTCTTCTTTTAGGCAGTTGTATTGTTTTAGCATGTTTTTTTTAATCTTTTGGTGAGCATTGCTTCTTTTTGTGCAGCTCATACAGCGTATAGCTAACATGAAATTAAGCTATGCTTTTAATTTCCCCAAAAAAAGTATAGGCCAATTAAGTAATGCTAGGCATTGGGATACATGGAAACGAGTTTATTATGGTGTTGAGATAACTTGATAAGAAAATTGCCATAATTATCAAACTTTCAGGGAACTCCAATGGAGAAATCCTTTTAAAGTTCATCATATATTTCTTCTTGCTTTTTCCATTACAAAACCCAGTTATTCAAGTATACTATCAACATCCACTTTCCAAAAAGTTATTATTGGTATTTCTTTCTTATTCATCTACATCTAGCTTATTTAATTAGTTAATTTTCATTAATTTGTGCATTTCTGTTTCCGATGGCTATAGATACAAGCTCCACCTAAGATTTTTCTTCAAAATTTCGATAGAACAGATAATTAGCACTGAAGTCTAATCAACTTTTGCATTGCAAAGCTTAACCTGCTAACCTTTTTGAAGATAACTGAGCATGTCTGCCTTGATCAAAATCATGCTCTAACATCTAGAAGATTTTCGATGATTCTTTAGTCCATGGTACACATAGTTCATAACGCATAAATTGGTCCTCAATACTTTTTTGCTCTACTGTTTTTCTGCAGGACTACTTCTCAAAGTGGGGAGATAGTGGCACTGTTGATCTAAAATATGAGCTTGAGCACCTCATCATCTTGACTGCCAGTCGATGCCTTTTAGGTCGTGAAGTAAGAGACAAGCTCTTTGACGATGTGTCTGCTCTTTTTCATGATCTTGACAATGGGATGCGCCCAATCAGCGTCATCTTCCCCTACCTCCCAATCCCTGCACATAGACAACGCGACCGGGCTCGGTTCCGAATTTCTGAGATCTTCGCAACCATCATCAAATCCCGCAAATGCTCTGGAATCACTGAGGATGATATGCTGCAGTGCTTCATTGATTCCAAATACAAGAACGGTCGTCCGACCACCGAGGTAGAGATTACAGGCCTTCTTATTGCAGCCCTGTTTGCTGGACAGCACACCAGCTCCATCACCTCTACCTGGACCGGAGCCTATCTACTGAAATACAATCAATACTTATCAGCGGCGCTTGACGAGCAGAAGCGACTAATGAAGAAATATGGCGATAAAGTTGATCATGATATCCTGTCTGAAATGGATGTTCTGTATCGTTGCATTAAGGAAGCCCTCAGGCTCCACCCTCCTCTCATCATGCTTCTTCGTCAATCTCACAGCGAATTCACAGTGAAGACAAAGGAGGGAATCGAGTATGTAATACCAAAGGGACATATTGTTGCCACTTCACCCGCCTTTGCGAACCGGCTTCCGTCCATCTACAAGGACCCTGATACTTATGACCCCGACCGATTTTCGCCCGGGAGGGAGGAGGACAAGGTGGCCGGAGCCTTCTCCTACATCTCATTCGGTGGTGGAAGGCATGGTTGTCTTGGCGAACCATTTGCGTACCTGCAAATAAAGGCAATCTGGAGCCATCTTCTCAGAAACTTTGACTTTGAGCTCATCTCTCCTTTCCCAGAAATTGACTGGAATGCCATGGTGGTTGGTGTGAAGGGTGAGGTCATGGTGAGGTACAAGAGGAGGAAGCTCGTAGTTGAGGAATGACTGATCTGGAGCCAGCGTTGTGCTTCTCTTCCTAAGGATATGTGATTCATTGATCAAATTTGTTGTTCTATGCTCTGTTCCTGAAAATCGGTTTGTCTTTCTACCTGAACTTGTTTTGCATTCCTGTCTGAAGCATTTTTTTTCTCTAGATATTGGTCGAACTATGCATCTTTCACATGCTTCTTGCATTGTTGTGTGGGTTGTTGGTGGATTTGTCATGAAGTTCAAAAATCGTTTAAATATTGGTTTTTTAGGCTTTTAGATATTTCTCAGATTGAGGTTTTGTTTGTGATTTCTAAAATATCTTTCTAGTTTTTTTTTTTACTAAAAAGCAGTTTTATAAAGTAGCAAAAAAACTATCTCAAACGAAGCCTGAACTAGCCGACAAATAGTTGTGAAAGTGCTTAGGTCGAATTTAGGGTTAGATTGGGAATAAATTTATTATTATTATTTAAAGTAAATTTTATTATATATTTTTCCAAAAGAATTTTATACTAAGATTTTATTTTATAAAGCAATTTAAAAGTTGTTCCAAATCAAGCTTTAGGCTTTATTTGTGACAACTTTTTTGTTAATTTTAAAATTAGTTTTCTTGCATAAAATTTTTAGTTCAAGAATTATTTGTATTAAAAAGTTATTTTAAAAATTAGGAAGAAATTTGTCCTAAATGAAATTTTATTTTATTGGCAGTTTTTTTTATTTAATAAATGTAATTTTGATATATACATAATGCATAGAAAATGTATGATGAAGAGGAGCATAATATGCTTGCCTCATAGGTAGTTTAATATTGATGAAAAATAAATTTGTATAATAGTTTGGTGGCCTTTATGATACAATATTTAAAATTGCATAATAGGGTATTGAGGTATTTTTTATTTGTGAGATGAGGCATAAGACTCAAAATAAAAAATTATGGAAAGCATAATATATGTTAAAATTAATTTCTTATATAATATCCAATTAAGGTGTTAAAAATGACATTATTTTTTAATAGAACTATAATGTAACACATTGACATATATATAAAATAAAAAATTGCACAAGACATAAAGTGACTAATGATAAACGGTATGAAATATAAATATTATATGAGCAAAAAAATATTAAATATAGAAACTGCTTAAAAATATTATATAACATTAAGTTTAATTCTAATTTATTTATTTCTCAGTTCCCTACTCATCTACATTTAATTTCTAAAAAAATTGAAATAGCTACAACTAGAAAAATCTTCTATATTTTCATTATTGAGAGGATCTCTATTTGAGTCGTAAGTATAATAAATTGGACTCTCCACTGTCTCATCCTATGGAGCCCAATACCTCATAATATGCTTATTTTTCATTTAATTCAATTATTTTCACCTCTTAAAAATATTTTTCATCAACATAAAGATAAGATTACTTCAAAATTTTTAGAGAAGGAGGTGGTGGTGTGCAGCTTTCAAGTGATCCTTGATGGCGGCAACGATAGTGGCGGCTATGGCGAAGGCGACAGGTTAGAGGTTGAGGCATTTGTTGCAACTCGGCGTGCACGAAGGTGTGATTTGTTTAGAACTTTACTTTAAGATTTATGTAAGTTTTAATAAAAAAATCCATATAAATAAAGTGAGATGTAAGCCTCACGCAAGCAAGTTGTGGCGAGCCTGAAGGCGGACCTCAACGAAGTTGAGGCGCAAGCCTCATAAAAAAAATGAGAGGTAAGCCTCCCTCAAGGCATTTTTATTGGAATTGTGTTAAGGCGGGCCTCAATGCGAGCCTCATATTGCTCAATTTTAAACAATGCTAGATATTACTGGTTTTATTTTATTTAAATAATATATCTCAAGAGTAGCTTAGTATTAACAAGTAAGACTGAAACAATGTGAAAATCTTTTTCACATTGTTTTTATTTTTTCTAGCACGGATTATTTTGGAATAAAGAAAAATCCCTGCTGATGTAGATAGATTGAAAATTACCAAAGCAGAGGATTTTTCTACTTAACATGAATTAATAAGGAAAAAAAACATAAACCCTTTCATTAACTCAACCAAAGTTAGCAAATTTTCAGAATAATTTTAAAAAAAGAAAAAAAATAAAAGTAGCTTATTTCATGAGAGAAAATTAAAGATCGGTTTGGGACAAATTTTTTATTGTTTTAGTTTTTAAATAGTAATTATAATTTTATTTGATTTTTTTTTCTATTTTCTCAATATTATTTAGAAGAAATTTCTATGATGTAAAATTGTTTTTTATAACTTGAGTAATTAAATAATTTTTGACATAATAATTTTATAAAATACTACTCTTTTTAGAGAGCAATCATAATTTTTTTAACTTTCTCAATATTTTTAAAAAAATTATGATAGAAAATTATATTTTAGAATTAGAATAGTTAATTTATTTTTTATAATAATTTTGAAATTAATTTTATAAAATATTATAGTCATCCTAAAATTTTATTTGAGATGACTTATTATTGCTTCTTAAAAAGTTTTAAGAAGCAATAAAAAACCATCTTAAAAGAATTCGTCAAACAGATTTCTTACTGCATCTTAAAATAAAATTTTAATATAAAAATTAAAAATTTTTAACCAAAAAATTATTTTAAGAAATAGTAAAAAAAATATCCCAAATAAAATCTTAGTCTTAACAATTTTCATGAAAATTGTTAATTACACACATTCACAAAATTTTAAAGGTGGAGCCTGGTTCCAGCCTTAAATTAGTGGATCAATTATGTTAGCCATCCAATTACAGTGCCCAATTGTTTAAAATAGCAAAATTCAGTTAATTCCAGCCTTCTAAATCCGAAAATATCTGCAACACTGATCATAATCATGGAAACAGTTACATAATAATCAATAATGTAGAGAAAAATCTCAAAAAAAAAAAAAAAAAACCGTTGCTTTCCTATAAGTTGAAAAATCAAACATTTAACTTAAAAAAACCCTAAGAACACTTGAAGAAGTGATGTGGAGGGGCGGCCGGAAACAAAAGACTTACCGATGAGAGGCGGAAGAAACGTGTGGGAGAGTTGGGATCGAGAGCGTGCGGGAGAGCTTCGTTTGGTTCGGCTTGGACCGACAGAAGGAAGAAGGAAATAGCATTTTTATTTTAAACTTAAGTGAGTAGGACCCTATAATGAGGCGTACGCCTCAACCAAAATTGTGCAATAACGCAATTAAGGCGTCACTATCCCTGAGGCGTAAGCCTCAGCAAACACTAAAATTACTTAGGCAATAAGGAGGCATGGATCCAAATTGCGCTGCCCACCTCTTATTGCGCAATTTGAGAACTCTATGTTGTATGTTGAAATATTCATGGTGATAGATAGAGTTTATTATTTTAGCATTGAACGAAAATCTCATGATCATATAAACAAATTAAGAATAACACCTATTAGATATCATATTTTTTATATATAAAAAACAAGCGAAGGAAAAAAATTTATAGGATCTGATCCAGTTGAATAATTTCACTGTGTCATATGTAACAAATGATGTATGTCTTTGTAACTGGATAAAATATTAATACAATATAGCATACATCAATTACAAAAAAAATATTATATGATAGAAGTAGGAGTCTTAATATGCCCATATTGTCATTATTGTTGGCAGTTGATCAACTGGTGGTAGCCATTGGCAATCATTTGAAGGTTGATTGGGAACGTTAGATGTCGGGTGATGTTTAGTGGTCTTCCAACTCCTCATAAAAGGGGAAGTAGGGTTGTCAATTTCGAGTCACGGGTCAGGTTCGGGTCGAAGCCGGAATTAACCCAACACTATTTGGGTCAACCAAACCCTACTTGAACTCGACCCACTTCAGGTCCGGGTTATCCCGACAATACCTAAATGACTCGGGGCCGATAAAAAATTGCTAGTTTTTGGGTCAAAAATGGGTTTTCAGGTAAAAATGGGTCAATCTCGGGTTTTCGGGTCAACCCGAACCATACATGATTTTTGAACAGGTCAATTTGCTAAACCCGAATCCAACCCGTTTTGGGTCCGAGTTAATCCTAACCCGAAATTTTTGAGTCGGATTTGAGTTCGATTTTCGGCTCGTGTCAAATATTGACACCTCTAAAGGGAAGAGACTTACAACTATTAACTCAGATATTGTTCATTAATGGCTGATATACATTAAACATTAATAGATGTCAGACAATGATTGATGGTGGATGTTTTTTTTTTGGAACATTTAGGTCAATTAAGGCAGAATCACACACACATCACATACACAAGACTCGAATCCAATGTCTCTTACAGACAAAGTTGAGCTGTGTTTTGATGGGGGATGTTAGATGACCATTGGTGGTTTGCTCAGTCATTATTTGACCTTGTAGGGGAGTGGAGATCAACAAATAGGTAGGTTGGTCTTATTTATAAATTTCTATAGAAGCTTTTTAGGTTATTTTGTTTAGAAATCAAAGACATTCCATCATTTAGCATTTTGTTATCATCTTAATGCCTATGATGGCAAACGACTATGATGCATGCGTTGCAGGGTCTTTCCAGCTGAAGCTTGTGAGACAGTCGGTGGTGAAGCTTGCGATGCAGCTATATATCCAGAAGCAAAGCTTACGGCTTCAACAAATTCTGCAGAATCCCCCAAAACAGTGGAAGAGGTTGAGAGGGAGTATTTGGAATATAATCAGCAAAAAACGTAAGTTCAAAATCTATTAAATTAATCTTTATCATAAACAGCTTATCTACCAATTCCAATTCAATTAATTTTAAAATCTTCAATTATTTTTGCAATTATTTTCATGAAGTTATTGAGAACATGTAGAGATCGAGGATTTGTTTAGAAGGTTTGTGGTATTTTATAACGGTTTCGTTTAGGATAGCTTTCTTATTGTTTTCTAAAGCAACTTTTTAGTATAAAAATTTCTTTGAATTAGAAATTTTTGTATAATAAAGTTGCTTTAGAAAGCAGTAAGAAAGTTGCCCCAAATGAAGTTAAAGTTGATTGTAAAGTTGTTGTGGGAAAATTAGCTTAACTACTATGTTTGTAAAAACTAGATTTCTATTAGAAGAATTTCTGAAAAATTTAAAAAAATTACTAGTCAAAAGTTACTGTCTGAAAAACAAAATAGTGAAACATGTGTAGTTTTTTTTTTCAAAGGTGGTTATAAAGCTGTTGCAAGAGAAGTGATTTTGTTTTAAAACTGCTGTAAAAAGCAATTTCATAGTACAAAAATATCTAGAAAGTATTAGGCAAGCAGAACTATGGTTGCGGTCTGAAAAAACAAAGCAGGAAGAAAGCCGTCCCAAACATACCCTTAATCTTTAGAGAGTTTGTGAATTTTGTAAGGAAAATATTTTAGATAATAATTTTTTTTATTAAACCAGTAATATATAGAAGCAAAGCTAAAATTTTGAACTGCAAAATGCAGAGTGTTTCCTGGCGAAGCATGTGATGATCTTGGAGGAGAATTCTGTGAGCCTGAGTACCAAATTGGAGTCGGCAAGGAGAAGGCCTAAGCCTAATTTTTAAGTTTTTTTTTTTTTTTTCTCCTTGAGGACTTTCTGAGCTTTCAAACATCTTAAATATCTTGATTTTGTATGCTATGTAAATTTTAAATGTGTAAGGGAAATACTGATGTTTGAATCCGAACGTATAGTATGATGATTTAGAGGAAATTTTCATGAAGACGACATTTAGATTTTATTTGTGACAGTTTTTTTATTACTTTCTAAAACAATTTTTAAGTAAAAAAAAGGTTTACTAAAAAACTACTTTAAAAAACAATAAAACAAAACTGTCCCAAATGTCTTAGGCTTCGTTTGGGACGGCTTTCTTGTAGCTTCTTAAAGCAGCTTCTTAGTATCAAAATTAAAATTTTTGTACTAAGAAGCTGTTTTAAGAAGCAGGAAGAAAGCCGTCCCAAACGAAGCCTTAGTTTATAATTTTTAATTTTTGTACTAAAAATTTGTTTTAAGAAGCATTAAGAAAGACTTCACAAACGAAATCTTAATCATTTAGAGTTACTTTATTATTTCATGAAGTCCAGATTTCAGGCACTTAGAATATGTTTGGTTGTCCTTTTTTTTCACACTTTTGACAACCAATAGACCAACAACATCAATGTTGGTCTCCTCATCTCACTTTTAGCTTGCTATGTTATCATCCTATATGTCTTGCCCACCCTACATTCTCTCTTTTCTCTCCTTGCATTTATATATATGCTATTATGAGGCTATGGTATTCACTTAAAAATCGAATGCTTGTCTCGAGCCTTCTTTAAATTTTAGAAACAAATGTTTCATTTGAGATAACTTTCTTATCATTTTTTAAAATAGTTTTCTTGCGTGCAAATTTCTAGTTTAATAAACTTTTGTACTAAAAAACGATAAGTAAGCTGTCCCAAACGAAGCCTAATATGAATCCTTCAAAACCTTCGATCCACTGTCCTCCTCTTCCTCATGCCATGAACATCCTTCCACTTCCCCCCTTTGGCTATTAGGCTGCCTCTTGCTCTATTTATATATAAAGGTATATATCTTCATGTACTATCATATTATGATAAGGATATTGAATTAAAGATTGTATGTTGAGTTTTCTACTATTTTTTTGTGTGTTTACTATAACAAGCAAAGTACTACTTGTGATTAAGAGATCACAATCCTAAGAGGTCTTTTAAGGTATGATATCTCTAATTCAGGCTGCCAACGAATCGAGCTAAGCCGAGCTTTAGCATGTTTGAGTTTAGATTCATTTGTCAGAATAGAGGTCAAGCTCGGCTCGAAGCTCGTCGAGCTTCTTGGACACATGTTTGAGTTTGAGCTCGTTTATAAAAGCACGTTCGAGCTGGGCTCGTGTTCAGATTTGAGCTCGTTTAACTTAAAGCTTGCCGAGCGGCTTGTCGATCAGCTCATAAAACCAACCGAGCTGCTCGCTAAACATTCCGCCCAGACAGCCTGCCTCTTCAGCTGCTCGCTTTTCATCAAGCCATCAGATGAATTTGCTTTTATATAGCATAAGCATTCTCCTACAAGGGGTATGAGACTAAACCGCTTACAGTTTTTTTATTTTAATTTGTTGATGCCACGGAGAAGGGAGAGAGAGAGGCAGGTGGGAGTTTGAAATTTACGAAATATGCAAAGAGAGTGAGAGGGGGCGGGAATTATATTGAGGCAGGAGAATAAAAGATTTAATAGAATATTTGTAATTAGTTAGATTAGTAAAAATAAAAAAATAAAAAAAAGTTAAATCTTAAAATATTAAATCAGTAAAAATAAATTATTAAATTAGTAGACTAAATAATATTTATTTTTAAAACTCTAAATGAGCTTTAATCGAGCTTCTTATTCGAGCTCTAATCGAACTTCTAAGCGAAACTGTTCGTAAACATAAATGATCCAAAAAACGTGTTGTTCAAGCTCATTCATTTATCTATTGAGTATTTATCTAGTGTATTCAAACTCATTGGTTTATCTTATCAAACGAACATGAACGAGCCCTTATTGAGCCGAGCCACGAGCAGCTCGTCGAACGCTCCCGGTTCATTTCTTTTTTCTCCAAATTAGAAGCATATATGTGTCAAGCAATTGCGAATGTTGGGGCCTCCCTTTGAAGCAATTATTAGGTCCTTTCACTGGATGTAGAGGAAGGTTCGGTTTTAGGCAAAAATAGGTCAAAAAGTGCAAATACCGAGTTTTTTGAAAAAAACTCGGTATTTTTTCAAAAAACTCGGTATTTGCACTCTTTGAGGCAAAACCGAATCTTCCTCTAGGTCCTTGCACTGGACCAAATAAAAGTTCCTCCCTTTGGACTTGCTTTGGATATCCACAAATCTCTATGAATTTCTTGATGCTTCTATCATATTTGAAGATCAACTTTCTTTGGCACAAGCCATCCGATCTAGTTATTCCTTAAGTGAAAAGATCACCATCATAGGGACTTGTCATGTCAACTAAGTATCATTACATTGAGAAATCTAAAATAAAATCGAGGATTTTAGCATTAAGTAATTGAGCAAAAAAAAAAAAAAAATCTAGAATAACATACAATTTAGGAACTTTTATTACGTCCGGTGCAAAGACGTAGAGGAATGTCCGGTCAGAGGCAATTTCCCGTCAAAAAACTAGGTATTTGCTCGGTACAACTAGGTATTATTTGATAATAATGAGGAATACCGTTCTCTGAAAACCAATACCGAGTTATACCGAGCTATACCGAGAAATACCGAGTTGTACCGAGTTTTTCTGGGAAAACTCGGTACAACTTTGGTATAACTCGGTATTTGCTCGGTAAAGCCCAGTATAACTCGATATTGGGTCTTCAAATGATGGTATTCTTCATTATTGTTTGGTATTGCTCGGTATTTGCTCGGTACAACTCATTTTTTGGAAGGAATTTGCCTCCGACCGGACGTTCCTCTACGTCCGGTCGGAGGACGTAATAATTGTTCACCATTTAGACTCACAATATGAAAAAAAAAAATGAACTATATGAATTTTTAGCTAGAAATGTTTGGAGTCACTATCTAAAGTACAAACTTTTTGGGGGGATTTTTGAGCCAATTAAAGGCAAAATTGCAAGTAAATCGCATATACAAATTTCAAATTCAAGACCTTTTAATTGATATTTAAACTTTCCAATTAATAGATCAAGATGAGATACATACAAAAAAAAAAAAGTATGGTAGACAACTAATGATGCTAGCAATAGAGGAAAGTCTGATCATTGCTACTTTTTGGAGGAAAAAAGAAAGAAATGAGGAAGGAAAGTTATTTTGGGTCTAACGTTTCAACGTTTCAATATTTTATAACCAAATTTATTATGTTGCCTGTTAGATTTCGCAAGCCGGTGGCATGGCGTGATACCCCCTCACAGGTGGTGGAAGTTCAAGGGTAGGGGTGTCAAAATTGGGTTGATGGTTGGGTTTAGATAGAATTTGAAGCTGACTCGAAGCTATTTGACACGATCCGAATCATACCCGTTTTAGCAAACAATATATGCTTGAAGCTGGAAGCATGAAGGAAGCCGCAGGACAGGACGCCGGAAGGAACGTCGTCGAAGCCGGAAGAAATGTTGTCGAAGTCGTGGTGCAGGGATTGCAGAGTTCTGAGCTAGCCTAGGGTTAGGAGTAGACTTCGAACCAAGTGTTGGGGGCGGGACGACTAGGTCGCAGGATGGTAGGAGAGGCGAACAACAAGGTTCATTTACAATGGGATTGTGGGAGTTAGGGTCGGGTCAATTCCGGGCCAATCTCGAGTTTCCGGGTCAATTTGAACCTGTCCCGATTTTTGAAATAGGTCGGTCTGTTAAACCCGAACCTGACTTGTTTGATAAACGTGTTGATCCTAATCCGAAATTTTTTAGCCGGGTTCGGATCAAGTTTTCGGATTGTGCCAAATATTAACACCCCTATTCAAGTGCTAATCAACTTGCCCCCCAAAAAAAATTTGTTATAAATTCATCATGAAAGAGTCACATTTATACCTAAATAAATCAATCACTCTAACATAGTGACTTCAGTACATATTTAGTAGGGGTTGTGGCTGAAAATTTCTCATCATATTTTTCATTTCGAAACTTAATTTTATTTGTGATAATTTTCTTACAGTTTTCAAAGTAATTTTTTGGTAGAATTTTTTTTATTAAAATTTTTTTGTATTAGAATGTCATTTTAGGAATAAGTAAAAAAACGGTCTCAGATGAAGCCTCATTTGGGATAATTTTTTTTTCACTGTTTTTTTAAATAAATTTTTAATCAAAAAATTTTTAATTAGTTTAGAAGATAATTAAAAAATTATCCTAAATATAATCTTAATAATGGCAAGAATTTTATCAAAAAAAAATCATATCAAAATAACTATTTTTCGATAGTATCATAAACCTTCGTAAGTGCCTTTCTAGAGATAAAGTGATGCGAATCTGATATTAACGGCATAAGAATATTCTTCCCCTCTTCCTCTTTGAGATATTTTTAATGGTTTTGAAAATCGGAGCCTTAGAAATTTATAAATTAAATATATTTTAATTTTGTAATAACCATTAAATTTTCATAATAATTATTTCTCAACCAATTGTTAATATAAATTACCCGCATGGTCCCATCACCCAATGCAAATTCTCATTTATTTTTTTAAATGATTTTAATATTTATTACATCATTCAGTTTAATTCCGATCGAATTATTGAATATTGAATCTCTCATTTTTTCGGTTTGATATTCGATCTAATTTTCATAACATTTTATTAGATTAAATACTATGTGATCAGTGGATTAAATACATGAAAATTAAGTATAATAATTATTAATATAAATAACTAATATGCAAGTAATTTGAAGTTATTTCGCACTCTATGCGGTTGGTGGTGCATTAAACATTTTCAAGTGGAAAAGATTGAGAAGATGAAGCTTTATGGGTTCAATTCATCTGAAATCAGTACACTTAATAGCACTTCATAAAATTTGGAAAATTTAACCAAAATTGGCATAAATTTATTCCTCATGGATTGTTCACCACTTAAAGCAACGCATCCCCTTAGTAATCGAGAAGACTTGTGATTTTATGGGTATATTTCGAGATTAATTATTATGTGCGGTCGTCGAATGATGTCCGGAGACTAATTATGTGTCATGTCATCCATTGCTCGGTACCGCAACTTGATACTGCTGATTTGACGTATTTTGATTGGTCTCCGG